CAGGGGTCCTGGTCTTTGCCTAAGCACCCCATGAGCAGCTGGTAAAACCCTGAAATGGCTGTTGAGTGCCTGGACAGCTCTGGATTTAAGAGACAAGGACCTGCCCAGCCCCCTCTGTGCTGCAGGCTTTGGGTTCTGCCCGGGCGCTCTCCAACTCGGTGTGGCTCTGTCTTCCTCCCAGTGGCACACAAAGGCAAGGGTGTCATTTAGAATCTACTCAGAAATGCAGAGTTTGGGGCCCCTCTCACATCTGCTGATCAGACTTTGCCTTTTGGAAGATCTCCTGCCATGGGCAAACACATTAAAGTTTGAGAAGACCACTCAAGCAAGTGGTGAGAGATACCACGTCTTCTCCTCGTCCTTGTGCCCTCTGTTCCCCCGCTGGCTCTAGGTGACACAAGCCCTCTCACTGAGACCAAGACTCTTCCCACGTGGTGGGACTCCCTCCTGCCCCGTCACCCAGCCATCCCGCTTTTGAGTTCACATCTGCCTGATACAGCAAGCCATTTTGCACCTTGGCTCTACCAGATTTCTTTACTGCTTCTTACTCTTTCATGACCTTTTTGGTGGACAATAATTGGGGTAGAAGGTAGCCAGGATGGTTCAGGGGTGGAAGTTGCCCTCCCTCAGGCTCCTGTTCTGCATCGCAAGCCGTAAGTCGGAGACCAAGCAGGGCTGTGTAGAGGTGCAGCGCAGCGCTAGAGTGTGTGCGCGCTTCGTGCGCGCAGCCCTGGAGTTTATCCCCAGCACTACCAGGAAAAAGCAGGGTTCAGCATTAGTTTTGCTAATGGAACCTTAAGAGACCAAAATGAAATTTTCCTCCTCTGAAATAATGCGAAGTCCCTTCTGGCCAGCACTCAGCTGGACTCTCCTGTCAGTGCCTACGGCAGTGGAGGGCCTGCACAGGGTGTCAAGGGCGCCCCAGAGTTGGGAACTCTGCTCCATGATCACCTTGTTCCTGAGAATCAGCTCCGGGATAGTCTATGCATTTGCTAGTCTTGCCCGTGTACAGGGTCTGCGTCAAGCCCACCCTGCACTGCGAAGCCTACATTGGGATCTCGGGCTGTGTCTCCCAGCTGTGGAGCTGTGTTCTCGCCAGCACTGTTTGCTCATTCTAGGCACAAGGAGCTCAGTGTTAATGAAGCAGTAAGAGAAAGCGACCTAAGGCACCTTCTCTGCCTTTGAAATAGGTTTAGTTTGTTGGCTGAAACGGGTAGAAAACCTTTAACATGCTCATTATTTTCCTCTATCACCAAACATTTTCTCTTGTTTTGGAGTCTCTCAATATGATGTTGTTCTTTGCATTGTGGTAGTTATTGAGGGATTAGAAGTGGCAGCAGGAGAGAGGGAAGGCTTGGGGACAGACAGGAATTGAAGTGTGACGTGGGTACAAGTAATTGTGATTTTGGGTTTTTTTTTTTACTTTTTTATTAATTTTATTGAGAAACGAATAGCAATGAGAGTTTCAAAACTCTCATTAATAGGACAGTTACAATGATTAATACATTGCATATTAACCATACTATCATAGTGGTTATTCATAGTACAAGATGCACACATGATATCCTGTCCAAACGCTGTTAGTACAAATCTTTCTTCTCATTTGTGACTTTTAATTTCATTAACTAACAAATTATTTGAGGGTATGAATATATTTTATATTTCTGATATCCTACACAGCGCATAACTTATACTGTTTACAATTTATAAACTATATTTATAGTTTATATTATAATTATATGGTAATGAGCACATATAATTCATAAATGATGAATAGATGGTTGGATGCTGGGAAGTACTTTTTTAAGTCTACAATTGTGGTACATTTCTATCCTTGCACATTTATTTATTTTTTTATTTTTTCCATAATTTTATTGAGAGACAGATAGCAGTGAGACAGTTTCAAATCAAATTGGTAGGACAGTTTCAATAACTAACACACTGCATACAGTCTTCCTAGTGGCTATTTGCTGTGCAACATGCAGACATGATCCTGTTTACAAACACTATTACAACAAATCCCTCTATTCATTAAGGGAATGTAACTGTGTATCTATCCTAACCACTTGTTGCACCACTTGGTGTGTAGTAGGAAGGGACAGGAGGCCTTGGAGGCACTACCTCTGGGGTGTCAGTCTCATAAACAAAGAAAACAATGTGAAAAGGCATTTTCTGGCCAATACTTTGAGAAGCTACATGGCATCCCTCGATCTTGTAAGTTGAGAACAATGATTTTTTTTTTTTTTTATGAGGGATACTGAAACACACCTGAGCCTAGAGACAAGCATTGAGGAAAGCCAGGTGGTAGTGGGGACCTTCGGGCTCTGGTCCTACTGTGATGACTCTGCATGAGAAGGTGGTGAGAAGGGCACAGGCAGTGAGAACGTGTGTGCCGGTGCACGGCGCCTCTTCCCTACAGCAGCTCGGCATCCACAGCATTTCCCTGGCACAGCAGAAGCAGGTGCCAGTCATTTGCCAGTAATCTAAGGGACCATTTGAAAACTGGTGTAACTCCCACATCCTAGGCACATAGAGGCAGGGGGTTTCAATGCAGGAAGACACTGTAAGAATCTTGTCCAACCAACAATACCCGGGATCTGAGTTGTTTCCCGCTACCCAATGTGCCACTTTTGCCTACCCTGGAGGTTGGCTTTGGTCCTTAGGCACAGAACTGACAGGTACAGATCTCTGTCCTGCCCTTCATTCTGCCCTCAAACCTTCTGGCAGGGTCCCCTCCACACAGGCACTTTGTTTTTATTTTTGTTTTTGGCGGAACCAGGGATTGAACTCTCAGGCCCTTGCGCTTGCCAGGGAAGCACTTATTCCATTGAGCCATCTCCCCACCCCTTACACAGGCACTTTGGAAAGTAGAAGTAATCAATAGTGATGGAACTATGGTGGGGACAGAAAAAGGGGCTGGTCCTTTCATCTGCGTCCTACAGAGCCACGACTAATGCTCCTATAATAGGTTGATGAGGAGGGAAAAAAAGCCCAACAAATAGATTTAATCATAGTTCCATGTGACATGGGAGCCTTCAGATTGAAGATCCAGAACCCAGGATACATGCACATGTTCATGCCAAGATTCTCTGACAGCCTCACAGAAATGTGGTCAGCAAAGAGTCTGACCTAGGCAGCTGTAGGTGGTGAAGGCCACCAGGACCTGTTTGTTCAAATTCTGCCTGGCCTCTCTGTAAAACTCCTTCCTTCTTGATGTAAGGCAAGTCCCCTTCCAGAATGAGGACTTACGACCCACAATCAGGCAAGGTAGAGCAAAGCCAGCTCCTACCCAGATTAGAGGAGGAGGTAGAGGTTCTGCCACTGCTCTAGGGAAAAGGAACTTTGATTTCTGTGAACTTCTTGGTAAGGAGAATTCTAGTTTCTAGGGTTTATCTTGGGAAATGGAAGGTAAGAGATAGGATGATAAAAGAAGATCCAGGGAAAATTGCTTCTGAGACTTGGACTTTGGGGTATCATTTTCTGAGCCCCAACATTACCTCCTTCTTAGAAGAATGACCCCTCAGAGGAAAGTGAGTTGTCTTTCCATCGAAGTGGACCCAGGGTAGTTAATGAGCAGACACAGACTGCAAAAGAATTGGGGGCTCCCTCCTGCAGTTTCATCCACAATATGCAAAGGAACAATCTCATGTAATCTGCATGGGAGAAGGTAGTTTTCTTAAACTAAATTGAGATTTCAAAGCAGAAGTGCCTTTTTTAATCTTCCTTTTCTTACTAGAGAGCACACTGATAGTAAGGTCGCCTTGTGTATTTTCTAATCACCTACTTTGGATATGAGTTGAACCCATAGCTTTCTTAATATTCTTAGTTGCAGCCAAAAATACAGATAAGGTCATTAACAAGTTGCTCTGGAATGTGGGGTGCACTGATAAATGACCACTGCAGCAATAGAAATGAGTTGCCCCAGCTCTTGGGAGGCTGTAAACAGGAGAATCACTATGAGTCGGATCTAGTAGTGAGACCCTGAACACCCTGTAGGCTCTTCCCTAAGAGAGAGAGAGAGAGAGAGAGAGAGAGAGAGAGAGAGAGAGAGTTGATCTTTGATAAATGTTACTTTTATTGTGTAGGAAGAAGAAAGACAGGGCCCGGGAAGGTGGCTCAGTAGAATAAGCACTTGCCTGGCAAGCTCAAGGGCCTAAATTCAATCCCCAGTTCCACCAAAAAGAAAAAAAGAAGAAAAACATACGATTATTTGGGAGTATTAATAAATCTGAAATTATAGTGGGTTTTGACAGTTCAACTTTTTGAAAGGGCATTTCAGTCCGTGAAGAGCCTTGCACAGTTCTGCATACCATAAACGGGCACATGTAGAGGTATGAATGACCTTAAGATTTTGCCCCTAACACTCTGGGAAACTTGGGAATACATATGCCACAAAGAAAGTTTGCATGGTTTACCTGAAGGTATTTCTGGTTTTCTTAATACTGAAACATAAGCTAGCATTTAATGACATGAATTTCATGGACATCCTTGGATTTCACGAGAGCGCCTTTGCCGGTATGGGTTGGCGAAAGTAAGCCGAGTGAACCGGGCCGCCCCCTCCCCTCCCCTGGGTTCTTCCCTCGCCGGTGCAGCCGTGGTCAGGTGCTGAGGCCTTAGGCAGGCGCTGCTTCGTGAAGTGATACTGACAGGTAAGAGTCAAAGGTCCGCCTCACCGGTGGCACAAGGGCAGCCCTCGCCGTGCTGCGCCCCGGGAGCGGAGAGGGTGGGCCTGCCCCACCTCGCTCACGCGTGGCTCGGGCTTCCGCCCGCGGTGCCAGCCGGGGCGTGCAGGGGGCGGTTCTTCGCGGCGGGCGGCTGGCGGCGCAGGGAGCGCGCGGGAAACCCGGCCCTTCCTTCTCGCGCCTCCCGCGTCTGCCCGCGCGGTTAACCGGGAGCGGCCTCCGGCGGGCGGGCGGGCGGGGGCGGGGCGCGCCGCGGGCTCCCGGGCAGCCGTGATGTCACCCGCCCCCCTAACCCCGGTTGGTTGTTCTGTGTTTCAGCTCTGCCTGCAGTCGAACACAAAGACCTGGAGGAGACCGGCGCCGCGGCCCCAGCGAGG